TATGCATAAGAAAACAGTACAAGAAACGGTAAGGAAAAAACTAGTAAATTGTCTGTTTGTGTTTTTAGATTTGATAATTTATCGATGCAAGAACAGACCAACTATAGGCTTCATTTTACGTAAACAGATGTGCAGTGAATGAAAAAACAAAAACAAAAAAACGATACCACAAATGAAGTTTTGCAGAAAATCCCAGTTCATACTGAATATTTAGGTTCCAAAACACCATAAAATTGGTCGTAATCAGGTTTGAATATAACTTTAAATATATCGTTTCTTCTATTGTAGCGAGCTTCGGGAACAACGCCGTGAGCCTCGCCTTCGACCTAAGAAAGGAATAGTTGATGCCGACTTTGAAGTTTACAAACGTAAGTCTTTCTGGTATTGGTTGATCTCTAAAAAGGAGAATTCTCTAACCGAAGGACATTCTTTTTACAGCAAAAATATCGCACAATAAAATCATGCCCCTGTCACCAACGGAAACGTATATCGTAAGTTTATTGATTGCATATTATCATAAAAAGTTTTTGCCTTAATTAGAACAATGTTATAATATCTTATTGAACAGGGTAAGGGCTACAATGCAAGGCGATTCGATGGGAAAGCTGTTGACCCAGGTTTGTTACTACTGAAACATTTCATTCCCGCATTTCAGTCAGTCTACACTGTATGCCTATAAGGAACAAAACTTCAATATTCTGTAATAGTGGATATTCAATCAAAAATCTGTAATTATGATATCATACTTATACATATATCCTGATGTTATACCTCTTTTACAATCTCTTAGATGGTAAAGATCTCTACCAGACAACTCAAAAAAGTATTCTTAGGCCACTCATTCGATCTTTCTATGATGCCTATACTCTATTTTTCTTTTTCTTMGTATGCAATCACATGACCAGAAATCCCTTGAGAAATAAAGAACAAATCTATCGCCGCCATGTTGGATGAATGAAGAAGAGAAACTAATGAGGAATGCTTTGTGATTTTCATCCAACATGGCGGCGATGACGTAATTTGTACGCCAGAATTATATTTTATATTTACAAATCTCTTTTTTCAGTATCTGGACGTGTGTACGCCTTTAATAAAGTAACTGGTGAAAGACGATGGCTACACGAAGATTATTCCATATCACGTGTCCCGCAAAGAAAGCACCATAACGAGGCAAATAGGTCATACTATGAAGACATTGATTTGCCAGGAGCTCCTCAATAGCTATAATATAGAGTAGGCATTAATCTATAAAGAGTGAAAACTATGTTGAATTTTTAATTTTAAAATATATTTTAATATTCAGTATCTGAAAAGGCAAATAGTAATATATCAACTGGGATAGAGTAATCAATCAATTAAATAAATCAATAAATAATTTCATAATGTATATTTTTTTAACGTTTTCTAAATCGCGTGAACAACTGGGCCAGCTGGCAACTGGTTGCCAGCGAGAAATTTAGGAAGAAAAGAACTCTCCAGGCAAAGAATATTTCATTCAAGAATTTTTGCAAGGAAAATAAAAGTTAAACTAAAAAAATATAAAAGCCGTTTTTGCCAGGAATAAAAATTACTTAGGACCAAAAAATGGTATTTTGATAGCGTTATATGAGCCGTTAAAACCATAAAAACGTTAATTGTATAGGCCTTTTTTGACCTTAAAAACATAATGCTGGACAGGATTAAACCCAATACGTGAAGTCTTTAACACACAGTCACGCCAAGAAACTTTATTTTAAGGAAAACTAGTTTCGTCCCAGATTAGACCTTTTCAATTCCTTAAGTTTATGAAATTGAAAAAGTCTTTAGATGTTCGAATTTTACAAATATCAAACAGACCTTAAAAACGTTTTCCAGGAACAAAATTATTTTAAGAAAATCCCTTTCCCAGGAAACAATTCGTTCAAGAACAGTTATTAAGAAGAACAGACAGCGAACATTCCGGAAGCTGTAGTGCCGTCTGTGACGCTATCACACAAGAACTGTATTCTCTATGGATCAATCGCAAGATCAGTTTTCATTAAGAGTTGAGGTTTCTTTACAACAGGTTTTGCAAGAAGTCTGTTTCACTGCTCGACGAAGGTCCCTCATTCGCCACAGATAAAACACAGGGCTTATGGTCGAATTGCAAAACACAATAAACTCGCTTGTTTCYAGAAGTAAAGCCCTCAGCTCACTTCTTACACTCAAGTGTGTTTTAAATATACCAATACTTATTGCAGTGCATAGGTATGGTATATAACATACGAACAAAGGAACACACACWATGATCATGGTATTTAGCGTCTCTCGGTACTTGTAGTCACTCAGCGGCGGCCCTGAAGKCTGACTTTGGGAAGTATTCGGGCAGTTATCCACAYCAGTCGAMATACTTGATACTGAAGCTAACATGATCTTCAATAAATAGTAGGAAAATAGTGTATACAGCAACAATGACAGCCATCAGCACTGCTAGAATAATTCCACTGAGAAAAAGATTAAAATCAAGATTTTTTAAGTCGTTGTCCATCATTGATAACAAAACATTCAGCACAGAAGTTCTATTTTAACAGTACGTCCCAATGTCACAATTGTTTTGTAGCGGTTTTTTAATCTAATGGCTAACAAGCGGTCTACACTGATGGTAACCAMAGTATATATTGAGACGGAACCGGTCCAATATCCCAATGCACGGGAACGAAAGAAAACCTGGCAAATTCCTGGCCAATTTTGAAGAACGGCAACATTGGTGAAAATCATWATTGTCTCGGCTATGGCTCCATTTAAGGCATCTGCCATTGCTAAGTTGGCTATGAGTACGTATGAGGGCCTGTGAAGTGACGTTGTTTTCCAGATTGCTATTAAGACAAGGGAATTCAAGGTCGCAAATACTGCTGTTATGGAGTAAAGAAACGCCATAGATGCACGGAACTCTCGGAGATGGAAAATTGGGACTTTGGAATTGAAGCATATCGTATTCATCTTGAAAAACACTGCTTGTCAGAGTGTTACTCACTGAGTAAATTGTCAAATGTGGCAGATATATATATTGACAGCATGACCGGACAGCATGACCGTTTTTCTTTTGGGCAATGATTTCAAGATAGTTTGAAACCCAAAAAACAACAACAACAACAAAACAAAAAAAAGAAGAAGAAGAAGAAGAAGACGAAGAAGCAAACAAAGATAAAATAAATAACAAAAATAAACAAATAACAAATAAATAAACCGGAAGTCAGTATCAACGGATGTGACGAGATATGCTAATTGCGAACCGCGCGCATAAATTTTAACACAGCTATGAAATTTGACTTGTTTTCAAATCAAGCTTATATTTAAACGATTTCAAGCAAGCAACTGACTGAATTTTTCTTCAATTTAACCCAAAATATGGCTGAATAACAAATTGAAAGTGCTCAAAGTTCATTTGAATCAACTTGGAGGCCAAGCGATACGTCCTGCACACGATTAGTGAACAAGTCGAGGGGAAACTTTGTTTGAATTAGACGAGTGACAATGCTAGACTCAGATTTCCTTGTAATATTGAACTTGGAATTGACCTATGGAGAACTGTGTTACTGTAAAACAACGACTAATGTTGTTATTGTTGAACCTTTTAACCTTAATGTGTCTAGTGGGACCACCGAGTGTTTTCATCATGCATACAGATATTACAGCCATCACTTGTGAAATTTCTCTTCGAAATGACAGTTCATATTGTTCGTCGTTGAAATACTGAGTAAGTACCCACCGTTTTGTGTTTACTCTATTGCTTTTAGGGTCTCAAACTACCCACTATAATCCCTTATCTTTTAAAGTCAGGGTTCTTGTGCTGTTCGACTTCTTTCCTTGAACTTCCCGCATGTTATGCAGCTAACAATGGTAAGCCKGAGGGGAGTGGGGAGGGGGGCATTGGGAGGGAATGTTAAAATATTTCTGGGTGATTTGAGAAAATGCGACTAGCCAATCAGCGCAAAGCTGACAAGCTTATGTTGTAAACATAGCCCCCCAACGGGAGGAATTTGCATAGCAAAACTCGACCCAGTGGAGTAGGCTGCCCGCCATTTTATTCTAACCGAAAAATAAAAGCTAAAACGCAAAGAGAAATTGAAAATCTTTATAAAATAGCTTTTATTAAAAGTCAATCAAATATTTATCGCTATAGAAATAGAATTTTATCTTAAAAATGAAATAATAAATAATTTTTTATTTAATACCAAGAGACTCCCCTCCCTGATAAAAATAATTGGTCTGTGTTCTACGCGGGTTCTCCATTGCATACGAAGCAATGGCCGACKTCACGAAGTCTTCAGAAGGTCGTTGAAGTGACGTTCAATTCCAAAATATCTTAGGAGGAACCATTGCAAATACTTTTTCTTAGCTCTTGTTTCCTCTAAGCTTTGAGGTATCTACAACATCACGGAAAGAGCTAGAGCAGTTTAGCTCCACGTATTCCAATAGAGTTAAAGCGTTGTTATGTTTGGTAGTGACAACAGTCGTAGTTCATCCTTTGTCGCAATTTCGGCAATAAGCCGTAAGCGTGCTCGACGATACAACAGGTTGACGTAACAGGTCGGTTACACATTTACTAGCTTTGACCTTACAACGAGAGCTAGAACGGTCACTGGGGTTTTTCGTGTAATGTCTTGATAGCGACTGTTTATGTTGAAACGACTCAAAACAAAATTCCATCGTGAAAAAAGTTCGACTAAATTCCCATCTGAAAAACACGTGTGTATTTAAGGTGGAAAATGTTTGATATGAGCATTCAATTCTTAGATTTAATTCTATAATCATTTTGTTTAGTTATGTAAATAAATTTAACACGACTTGTACTGTTTATCTGAGTGAAAGGAGAGCTGCGGGTTTTCCCTTTCCTTTATTTACACTTTCAAATATGACCGCTTAACACAAATGCACGGGCTCACTGGCTTACAACCTTGGCGAATTCATATGMAGGCCTGGTCGCAAATCAATCACCCAGTTAGCAAAACTAGTCAATTTTCTAAACAATCAAAATCATTAATGAATTCAAGAAAGCATCTAAAAATAATAAATTGTTAGAAATCTATGTACAGTGACTGAAGTCCTTGCCACCCTTTTTTAAATTTTAATTAAATTTAAAAAAAATTAAAAAAATTAAAATTTCCCAAGCTTGATATCCATTTGATGGGTCAATAATTTTGTGGTACAAGACTAAGCATAAACCCAAATTTTTAACAAACAATATTACTTTTAACACTTTAACAAGGGCGGATCCAAGGAGGGACAAAGGGGTGCCTTACACCCCCTCCCTCTGAATAGAAAAAGTTTAAATTGTTTTTTTTTATTATTATTTTCAATGTTGTTTATAACAAATAAAGCTCATTAAAACTGTTTAGTTACACCTTAAAATCTCAGCTGAATCCTCCCATGTTAACGATTATTCTTAAATAGATTCGCTAAAAACGAAAATACAACGAATAAGAACTTAGGCAGAGGTGAATCTGCTACGCTAGATGGATTTTCAGCCACTAGCATGTCCTTCATATTMTCAAGTGAGCCGTTGTTGGCCAGCGGATTGATTCCAAGGAGATGRCACATCAGAGGGTAGAGGTCAATAGCCTGCACTGGCCCCTTTGTTTTGTAACCCCGCTTGAATGAAGGACCGTGGGCGTAGAATATAGCTCCGAGTTCTTTCCTTGCCTGCCATCCGTGTCCTGTGTAAAGAGACAAGTGGCATTATCATAGTTGAGTTTTAGATGTTTAAAAACAGTTCAGTAGTACCACATTATCAGTGGTTGAAAATTAGTTACGCAAAATCGATGGTATGGATGAGTCCATAAATATAAAAGTGTTACCGATGTTAAGAATTTGCTTAATCTAAAAATGATCGAAAAGGAAAAGGAGAAGCATTCTTAAAACATTAATTAAAAAGTTTTTAATTAAAAACTGGAGTCACTTGAGTAAGTGTGAGCAAGACAAGTAACTGTAAATCTAGTCAGTAAAAGAAGTAATAAAACTGTTAACAGTTTATTTAGTTCGCTTCCTCATGGTACGGTTGGTTCAAATTAAATTATGATTGGCGTATCAAAAAAACCGTAACTGCGTTTACGGTTAACGTTTCGATGTGATTAAACACTGACCTTTCACGGCCCTGGTTTCTCAAATCATAATTGTCACAAGTTGACAGTTCAAAACCTTGAGACACTTGACCTACCTGCATTTATCCATGGTGTTATTTTTGCGGGTCTTTGGACTCTAACCACCCATCCTAGATCAGGYTCAATGTATATTGGTGGGACGCGGCGATTGTGCTTAAAATGCAAACCTTCAGGAATGTCTTCTTTCTTGTACACTTTAATATGCGTGATATTTCCATTTGTGAGGTTTGCATAAATTTCGTCTTCTTTACCCTTCGACGGCCATAAGTGCCCTATAACACCCTGCTCTGCCATTGTGAATGTATTTGTATCGAGATAATCACTTAGATAAATAACTCTTTTGGACGATGTTTCTACAAAACTGTGATCCGAGACGATGATCATGTTGATTTTGTCGAATAGATTAGCTTTTTTAAGGCTTTCAACTAAGTAACCTACTACATCTTTGTCGACTCGGTCGATGGCTTTGGCAAAGTCACCTGTGTTAATCCCATATGTATGACCTGCAGAATCTGGCTGATTGACATACAACGTTGAGAAATGTGGAGGATCGCTTTGTTTCAACCATCCAACGAGTTTATCGATACGGTTGCGAAATGGAAGACTCTGGTTTGCAAAGCAATGAATATAAGGAGGCCAGCCAGCACGAGTTTTTTGTCGATGTTTTGGCAAGTTTTTATAATCACTGTTAAGCTCAGTGCAGTTTACAAAGCAAGTAAGTTTCTCATATAGACTTGGTTTCTCGTTATAACTAAAGAATCCTGGCCAAAAATGCATTGCTGAGCGGTATCCCTGTTTCTGGACAGTCAACCAAATCGGCTCGGCGTCTTTGTAAAACTTTGGGTCAAAGTTAGAGCAGTCATACTGGAGAATGAACATCTCTTCGTAAACAGGATCCCAGAAGTTATTGGAAATAATACCATGGCTTTCTGGATACAAACCAGTCAAGTATGTTTGATGYGTTGGCCAGGTCTTGGTCGGTGTAACKGTAACCATGTAGCTTGCTTTGACGCCATTTTTTTCAATGGAGTCGAGGTTAGGCGTGTTTGCGAATTTGCCGTCAGTAAATTGCCATCCAAGACCGTCTAAGGAAACCAGAAGCAATGGATGTTTAGCATAGCATGATACAGTTACTAGTGAAAGTAAAAAACCTCTCAGAAAAGTAGCCATTATGAAGGATTTCGCTGTATGGACCATAGCGTGTAGTTATTATACAAGCAAACCAAGTAGGATTTATTGGGGTCAGATTGGGGTCATACATGGCTGGTCATGCATCAGTCCTGTCAATGTTTGCTAAAATCTGGAATGGTCAAGTGCCTGGAACACACGGAACACCCATAGCACCTAAAGGACCCTGTGAATAAAAGAAATAATATACAAGATACAAAATAATAATAAAAACATTATAAWCCAGGCTAAATAAAGGATATTATAGTAGTTTTAGAATAGGAATTAATGATATAGCTATTTCAAAAAAGGTTGTCTGATGAAATGACGAATGTCAATGGTCAAACGACGATTGCACGACCGAAAGTAGCCATGGGTTTTGCTTGGTGAAATGAAATAACAACTGATTTTTACTGTAAGATCGTCTGTGGTAAACATTGGCTCCATTTAGTCTCTATTTCAATGTAATGTGAATCCAATAGGTGAAATTTTGTTAATCGAAACAGTGTAAACATAGTCCCTTTCTTTCGTGCAGTCTCGCTTCGACAATCGCCGTTTGCCATTCTCCCTGACAACGTTTTTTGAAATAGCTGTATATCCTCAAAAAAAAAAAAAAAAGCAGAAACAGAATTTTTCTTGCGCTTGCACTCGCGATTGCTTTATCAATGTTCTGGATGGTTTTCTCTTCAACCGCTCGCAGCTTCAGTTGCTCTAATTGCATCAGTTTTGAAAGACAGGATTTAGGCTTTRAACTTATTTCTTACCCAAGCCATTTCAATAACATGAAAAATATATATATCTAATTCTCGATAGTAGTATTTTCTGTTGGACGAACTGACTACCCTCAATAC